AAGTATTCTTAGAATAGAGAATACCCGCAAATGGAAGGCAGTCTTTAGGTAGCACCTTATGTGTCCTATATGTAGGACTCATAGGCCCTTTGCTTAGCCCATTATTTAAGCCAGGCTGTTTTTCTAGTTAAATGCTGAGGATCAAGCCTGTGAGTTCTTTCATGCAAGGCCCCAAACCTTTGCTGCCATATAGTCTCATTCCCATCTTGTCCTCTCAAAGGCTATGAAATAGGTTAGCCTAGGATCAATGAGTTCTGTAGCTGAATGAGGATCAACAAGGTCTCCTCAGCCTTAATCCAGCCTTCCCCAGGCTGGCCCAGATGCTCTGAGAATTTTGCTAGGTATAGATAATCCAAAACAACTTGGGAGAAAGATCTTTCTTTTAAATTATGTTACACACTGGCTCTCATTAGAGTAACTGGTGCCTACTTGCTCTCACTTTTACATGGCAGGATTGCCAACTTTGAAAATGTGATGTTGCATCAATCCTCCAAAAGAAACAGCTCACAGAGATACTGGTTTAATTGATGGCACCTTAGAGGCTCATTGTTTAACTGTGCCAAGAAGAGCTTATTTCACTGTGTCAGGCACTGAACAGATTTTCATGCCCCTATAATTTTCAGGACCTGCCGTCAGTGGATTGGGAAAGAATCAAAGGTAACAGGAATTTAGAGAGTGGACTTACTGGTTAGAGTTAGACTCTCAGAACTGCCTAATGCAAAACTTAAAATATTCTCCAGGGCAAAGAAGAGAAAAAAACAACAATAACAAATTGTTATGGTGGAATCAATTTGGGCAAGGAAAAGAATTGTGATCAAACCAGGGAACACCTATCATCCCTCAAGGTACTCATTATAACTGTCCGAGTGCATTTTTGTGATGTGAGTACAGTGACCCAGAAATCAGAAAGCCGTACCCCCCTCCAGACAAACAAAAGATAAAGAATCAATACAGCTTGCTCTGCCATTAAGGATTTGGAAGAGGATGAAAAATCAGAACAGCTGTAATATTTCAACAAATTGTCTTTAAAGGATCAATAAAGAATAAATTGACCTACAAGGCTTTACTGGCTTGCAAACTTTAAGGTGAGTAGGAGGAGAAGTTAAAATGAGAGATAGAGACAAATGGCCTTTCCAGATTCTCCACCACATTTGCTGGCAAAGAAATTGGCTGAATGAATTTCTCCAAAGGATAGAGGCAATTTTCCAAGCATTTCTCAAGGTTAGTATTTCCCATTAATGGAAGGAGCACTGTTAGTGAAGTAGCCTCATGGGGCATTGCTTTGTATTGTGTGTACCGGTACATGTGTGATTGTGTGATTTAATGGAATCACATCTGGAGAGAAGGGTACACAAGTACAAAATATTCATATACATCCTTTAGCTATCTTGTCACTCAACAAATGTAATATCACACCCCACCCATAAGGATGTCTTTGGAATTCTCTTGTCCTTTGAAGTAACTGCTGTGGCAAATTCTCTTTCATCAAATTTGAATGGGAATGTAAAATTTCTCCATATGGCATTCATTAAATTCCCCCTCCATAAAACAGCTCAAATAGCTTTTGTTTATGCTTATTACTCACAGAGCACATTTAATAATTTGCTCTTGTGGCATTTTATTACAATCTGTGTTCAGGATAAATTTTAATCAAGCAAGGTCATGCTTGTATCCACTTTACAGATAAGAAAATTGAGGATGAAAGATGGTGTCCTATAATAAATTGGTATTATAGGGAGGATTTTTTTTGTTGCTGAGAAATTGAATGGGGCAAATTATTATACTGTTTATTTCAAATGAGTCATCACAAGACCAGATTTGTGAGTAAGGAATATATTTGTACTTGTAGGGCATGTATGAATGGTAACATCAAAACAACGTAAGTGCATCATATAAATTGAAGTGACCCCTCTGCACAGCATGGTTTATATGCATAGTGTTCATGTGCATGGTCCCACCAATAAGTCTAAACCAGTGAATTTCCAAGTTGTACAGTTTCTATGAACTGTAACTCCTATGCACTAATTTCAGATTATACAAGTAAGTATCACATTATTCCAGTATTCAGTGCCCAATTTTTTTCTGCAGGTGTACAGAACAAGAGGTTTTATTTCTGTCTTTTTGCCACTAAAAGTAATATTCAAAACAATTAATACTTGAGTAACAAAATGCACACAAAATACAGCACTAAGAACAAGCCAATAAAATAGCAATAGCATTTAGCACTTAAACTTATATACCACTCCACAGTGCTTTACAATAGCTTTTGAGTGGTTTACAGTGTCAGCATATTGCCCCCAACAATCTGGGTCCTCATTTTACTGATCTTGGAAGGATACAAGGCTAAGTCAACCTTGAGCAGGTCAGGATCGAACTCCAGGCTTAGGGCAGAGTTAGCCTGCAATACTGCATTTTAACCACTGCGCCACCACAGCTTCTAAATAACCTAAATATATATTTCAGTTAAACATATCCACACCACTGTAATGCTAAAGAAAGTTATTTTAGAAGTTATTTTCCTACTGATGGAAAAGCCTACTGTGGCATGGAGTAGTCTGGCTTAGGGTCTGAGTGCTTTGGTTAGAGAAGAATCAGAGGAATATACTTTTTCTAAGGATCTGCAGACCCAGACAGGTTTATATGGGACAGTGTGATCTGCCTTTCAGAGGAATTGTTCATTTTCCAAATGTTTATTACTTGTCTGTAGTTCCTTGGACAGCATACTAGTCTATTAAAAAATACAACACAAAACAAAATATTAGAAACAGAAGCATAGGATGAAAGTCTGCATAATAACCATTAATCATAACAATAAATGCAAAACATAACATCTATAAAACTAGGAGCAAAACAACTTCCATGACTCCAAAATGGATTCATTGGCAATTCCATTTTATTGTTATTTAAATATTTTTATTACCTAAGGATTGCAGTTATATTTTTATGCATATTAATGCATCAGGTGAGATCTGCTGAGAAGGATATTTCTCAGAATGAATGCTACTATTGAGAGTGAAAAAACTCTGTCTCCTACAGTTATTTGACTTTTCTTTAGGTGGGAGAACCTGGAAAAGGCTCCAGGTAGAGATAAATGTAGGAGCTGCTTCTTCAAGTGAACAGGTAATATTATAAATATCATGTAGCTTCAGAGTTTACCCCCATGGAGAGGTTTACCATATCATTTCTTCATCATAAAATAGATCTTTTCATTTTCTTCAATAATCATAAAATTGAATTGTTTTGTAATTTAACAGTTTTTTTAAATAATACATTTTAGAGGTAACTACTCAAAACGGAATTGTTCTGTATTGAAACAATTTTTAAAATAATACCCTTTTAGAGGTAACTACTCACTGCAGTTCCCACAGTGAAGAAACAAAGACACCATCATTGAACAGTTAGCCTCTACATACAGACAATCCTTGCTTAGTGATTGCTTTATTAAAGATGTTTTATTAACAGGCATATGCTTTTATGAGCTGAATTCCCTTTGCCAGATGCATGCAGTGGCTTGATTGATATAGACTAGAGCTACAAACTGGTTAATTGGAAAAGGTGCTTCAAGATATCTTCTTGTGTTTAGGACTGTATCAGAATAACAGAATAACAGAGTTGAAAGGGACCTTGGAGATCTTCTAATCCTGCTCAGGCAGGAAACCCTATATCCTTTGTTTATAAATTTAGATTCCAATCCAACCCCTTCACCATCCTCCACACTTAGCTCAGCTGTCTTGCTGCAGGCTGGTTTATTCAGTTATAAAAGGCACTCTGTTGTCATAAAGTATAGTTAAGAAATATGTGCAGAATGCCCTTTCCTATTGAATAAACCATCTTCAAAATTGATACAGCAAACAAGTTACAAAGCTCTATTCCTGCAATCTCAATAACAAACAATGCTGCTGATATCAGTCAAATCGAGATAAATAAAAGAGGAAATCTACCTCATCTGAAGCAAATCTCAGTTCCTTCTTGTGAGCAGTCCCTTAAGCAACTTGGGTTCTCCAGATGTTGCATTCCAGTTCCTAGCACCCCTAATCAGTATGGTGATTATGTGTAGTGTATAGTGCGCAATGATGGGATCTTTAGACCAAAGTCATTTGGCGGGGTACCCTATATCCCTTTTTCCATTCATAAATTGAGAACATTTCTAAGTCAAAATAAAGCAGTTTGGAAATTTAACTTTATCTCCCGAGTTCCTTGTGTTCCATTGCATACACATAAAAACAAAACATGAATCCAACTTAAAAGCAATTAAAGGGTTTCCAAATGTTTCATTCTTCCGACTTCCCTTTTGTTCCACCTGTCAGAATGTTTTATGAGGATAATACCTATGTCAACAAGAGCCATGTTAATAGTAAACACATTTGGATGAATCTAATGAAGAACATGTGCCCTTACCCAAGAATAACAATCTGGGTATCAAAAAGGAAGAATTGTGGTGTTTCTGGAAAAGTTGAAGTTGAAACATAATGCAAGATGCCAGATTCAACTTCTCATCCTCCTTATTACTACTATTATTATTATTATTATTAAATGAACATGAAAGTTAAATTTTCCACATCAATGAAAATGTGGATTTTCATTTTTGGATGTTTCATGCTTGGGGTAGTCTTGCCATTAACACAGCCAGCTATGCTTTTAGAATTTAACCAGTAGAAAATATGCTGGACCCCTTTTTTCAGTGGAAGAAAACAACACTGAAAAAAAATGTGGAAACAGTAGTATGTCTTTACTTGTTATTAAAAAATCCAAACAATTGGCCTTTTATAACAAAAGATCCTATGGAATCACGTTTTTTAAAAAAATCAATGCACAATTAACTATTAAAGTAGCAAAAGAAATAAACTATAAAGGACTGAATGAGAGATCAAATTTAATCATACAGAGCTGGAATAAAATCAATAGGATGAGTTAATATATAAAAACTCCATTGATTTCAGAAACTTTGCTCAAAATATAAGAACAAGGATCCACTAAGATCCTTTATTTTGTGGTTACAGAATCACCCACACATTTGGCTGACATGTTCAAATTGAGGATCGGCCTGTCATTCTTGGCTCAGAAGACCAACATAGATGTCATATCACTTGTAACATGCTTGAAGTATATTCGCTGGTAAAGTGATTGTTTGCTATTGTTCTTCCATGTTCTTCCATGGGCAACCATACAAGGGTTAATGTTGGCTGATAATATCTCCTATATGGCAATGTAAAGGATTGAAAACATGCAGGTAAGCTCTGTCCTTCAGCTGCAGATATGTGCAAGTGAGGAGCCTTCAAAGAGCCATCAACAGATTTCATGCACCAACAGTGCAGCTATCAGGAATAAATGTTTCTTTGAGGGGGTGGATGGGGAGTGTTGCATCTTTTAGACCTTCATAATTTCAATTCAGAAATTAAGCCATGGATGTCTCCAGCAGACAGTTTTCCTCAATCTGGTATCATCCAAATATAAACTCCCAGAATTTCCAAACAACAACATTACAGGTATTAGTTGGGATATCAGAGATGCTGGCCAATAGATACCTGCAGCTCTGTGTATCCATATTGCAGATGTCAGCTACACAAGCAATAAATGATAGCTTTGAGGCAGGATTTATTTTCACCAATAACAAAAGGTTATATTTTAAGGCAGCAGTCTGCCCACATGACAGGAGCTGTGATAGCCATCTATAGTACAGGTATCAGCTCTATCAGATGGAAGTTGAAGCAGGATTTGTTTTCTTGTTCCAGAGAGCGAAACTAGAATTAATCCATGGAAATGTCAAGACAGCAGATTTCACAATGTATTGGAAGAAATTTCCTAGGTGTAAGAGATTTTTAACTGTGGAAGAGTTTTTAGCAGAATGTAGTAAGTTCTTCTGCATTTGAAATCTTTAAACAGAGATTAGATGGCAAAGTGGCAATGATACCAATGTTGCATTTTGTACTGGAGATTCTCCACTGAACAGTGGAATAATAGAACCATATTATTGGAAGAGGCCACTGAAAGCTAGATGACCTCCAATGATCCTTCCATTTCCATTCCATTGTCAGTATACAAGATTAATAGTACTCAGATCATGACAAAAGCCCTTCTTCAAAGAAAACATAATTATAACCCTAATATAGCTAAGGAAGGCATACTTTCAGTTGTATAGTGGGAGAGCTATATTTCATGAGAAATGTCCTAAGGAAACTTTCTGTTTTGCCATCAACGAATAATGTCAAGGGAGAAAAGAACATACTGCAGTTTGAGAAATCAATTCACTATCAGTTTCAACACCTAGCAAAAAAAAGTAGCTAATTTTGCCACATCTGTAGTTCAGGACAGATTTATGAGCTCTTCCTGTAGATGAATCTGGCATTTATCACAGTTACTTCCCTAGCTCTGTGCACACAGAAGTACTGTGGGTCAAAATAAAATAGCTCTTACTACATTGCTCAAAAGAAATTACAAAAAAATAATTAAGAGAACTGTCTCTGTACTGATTTCCTTCTCTGATTTTATCAATATCTGATGAACTCTCCTCTTTGTTGGATTTTATTGGATGTTACTGGGTAATTTGGTCTTTCCTAATAGGGCTGTGTATGTTTCTAAAGCACTGAAACCCAGCACCTCCCCGATATTCATTAAAACATTACAATATTTTTTAGGTCTCAGCTCTTGGGGAGGGAAAGGTAGCAGGTACTTTAAGAATCACATTAACCTTAAAGTCATCTGAAAAAGAGTAAGGGTGCTGTAGCAAATAGTAGGGAGGTACTATGTTTGTGAGATCTGATGCACTGTTTTCTAATCATTTTCAAAGTAAACCTTTAATTCTTAATGCATTTCTTGTTCTTTTACAATTAAGCTGCAAGCTCAGTTCATTAGCATTGCCTCTTTCCAACTTCTAGTAATATCAAATTTAGCTGTTTTCCTAATATTCAGACCTCTGCTGTGATGATTTATTAGCCTTTCTGGGCTTCTTTGATGCCCTGTTGTTTCTGTGTCATCAGATGAGTCAAAGAATCTTGGCTACATCTGTTCTTGTTTCTTATTGTATGTTGGGCTGAAATGAGGATTGTTAATCTTGATAAATTTAAATTAAAACTTTTTATCAACTTCAGAAAAAGTTGCCATTGTTCAGCTTTGAGTCTCATTTTTTTTCTTAGTAGTTGGGAACAAATACCTGACTTTGACTCATCTTAACATGAAAAGCTGTAAATGATGTGCACACATTTCATGTTCTTTGTTAAATCCACCTGCAGCAGCACCTCTGTAAACTGTTATTGGCTACATGAGAAAGTTGGTGGAGAGTTTAACTCCAAGTAAGGAGACTTGGTGTAGTATACAAGCAGAACTTTAGGTGAGTAAGTGGGGAGCTGCAGGGATCCATCTATTGTTTTTCAGCTCTGACACTGGAAAAAAATGTATCATCTTCTAGAAAGAGAAAAGGAGAGTCTACATAACTTCTGCAAAAGATGGGTCTTCTATGATAGGAACCCAAAAGGGAAAGTGGAAACGCCACCCATTCCTGCTGCTTTTATTCTGGAGGACTTCTGCAATTGTAACAGGAAACATGAAAGGAAACACATTTTCTTTCTGCCTCTCAGAATCGGGGAATGAGGAATAGTTCCTGATCCTTCCAGAGGAAGGGGTAAAAGATTCAAAGGAGTATGTTGAGAACTCACATTTCTCAAGGCAGGAGTGCCTGTTATGTCAATATTAAATTGTCACCTAATATTATGAGAAATCTACCTGTTAAGTCCCGGGAAAGGCAGGAAAAAGAAGTAGCCAGTCTAAATCGTAAGGGTATAAGAGAAGTGTGCCCTCAAGTTGGCCAATGGCAATTGACTTCTTAAAGTGGCATCATTTTGAATGTAGTAAAAATTTGTATTTAGCCATGCAGTTTCAAGTGTTTCTGCTGAATTCAAGACAGGGGATCTGACAGTGATGCTGCCATGGATGAAAGTTTTTTGAAATGGTGCTTCTGGGTTCCCAGGTTTTTTCCCCTCAGCTGGTTCTCTCTTTACAGCATACACACTGTATTTCTTATGTCTTGACATGCCTTACTAGAGAGTAGCAACTTTTGGGGGAGGTGTCTTCCTTTGGCCACTCAAAGTTCATCATAGTTTTATTTCGATTCTTTCTTTGGCTGTTTTGTATAACAGCTGGTAATGTTTTTTCAATGTCCAGAGGTTGTTGGGGCTTGGATTGGCAGAAATTGGGTGAAGTTGAACCCAAGAAGCTCTACTTGCTCATCAAGGCTCTCTATCTGCTCCTGTGTGGTCTTTTGAGGGAGTGGCATAGTTCCTGAAGCAGCTGCTTTGCAACTTGGGGGGTCCTCTTGGACTAAGGGCTATTGCTATATGGGCAGGTTGAAGGTGTCTAGGAAACCTTTTGCCTGGTTCCAAATGGGACACCTGTTGAGCCTTTCGTGCACTCAGAGGATTTTGAAACTCATATCATTTTTGCAATGCATCCTCATGGGGCTGCCTTTAATGATCTACCAGATAACCCATTTCAGGCAAAATGAATAAGTGTATTTACTAACTGGTACTAGGTGCCTGAAGCATGTTTACACTGCAGTAAATATGTACACTTCCAGATGTGATTTAGGTTATGATGATATAGACATTTAACAAATAAGGAAATAGTTTATTGTACGTGTGTTTTTCTTTTATCATAACAAAATTTACAGTTTAAAGGCAACTTGGGATGAGCTTCTGGGCACTGAAAGTGGATCTGAAGCTATAAGGTCATGTTCTCTTGTTGTTCAGATAAAAATGACAAGTTCACATTGTTATTCTGAAGTTGGTGATTCTATCATGCACTCAAATCTTCCTATGTAATATGGGAATTGTAAATTGGAATGACGTAGATGCTACACAGAATTTTATACATTAAGTTTGAAATCTTGCTCTTCAAAATATTCAACATCTACTTTCCCGATCACCATCTGACCAATGGCCATGACTGACCACTCTTTAAAATGGCCTAGTTGATCTAAAGGATTAAAGCAGATTTCCCCAGATGGATGCTTTCCAGATATGTTATACAGTAGTACAATTGCCATAGGTCACAGTTCACAGACTTTGCTTGACTGTACTGGGAACTGTGAAAATTGTAGGGCAGCACATCTGTATAGCACCTTGTTGAAAAATGTAGACTTTCAGCTGGGTTTCTGTTTGCTTCTAATATAGGAATGTCCACCAAGATAAACTCATTATCTGATTAAAATTATCTTACATGAGGTCAGACAATTAGTCCTTCTCATCAAGTTGCCATGACTTTCCAACAAAATAATTCTAGACAGAAATTTTGTGGCACTTCACTCAAACTCAGATGTTACCTATGTAATTATTTTCTCACTGTCATGCTATGTACCGCATGAATTTGCAGATTTATCCCTGACACTGGAAATGCCTAAGAAATAATGAAGGCTCACTAGGAATCTATTTAATAGATTGCAAGACTGATAATAGAGATGAGGGGTCCTTGGTGTTCTCTAAGCTTGCTTGTTTCTTGCAGATGTTTCATTATCCAAACTAGGTAGCATAATCAATGCTCTGATGATGTTACCTAGTTTGGGTGATGAAATGTCTGCAAGAAAACAATTAAGCTCAGAGAGCACCAAGGACCCCTTATTTTCACCCTGAGCTACAAATATCCTCCTTTATTGACAGCATAGAGCAGGGATGTCAAACTTGCAACATTACGTGTCGTGTCCTGACGTATCATGACTTTTTTTGCCATTTCTGGCAATGGGGTGGCCGTGGTTTCGCTATGATGCATCCGGCCCGCGGGCCAGCAGTTTGACACCCCTGGCAAAGAGAGTTTGAGAAATTTCCCTTTTGGGCAGTTGGAATGAAGCCCATTAAAGGGAAAAATCCTCAGGTAAGTTTATTTTCTTGGTTCCACACCAATGATCCAATGCATAAAATAGTTTATTTTTTATTTGCCAATCTGATGAATCTACTTGGCCAAGTCCTGGACCCTGCCTGTAGCAAAAAGCAGCATCTTTGGGAGTATCTTTGCGTCCAGAGTTAGAAGTAGTCTTACCATCTGGGTTCTGCTTTTTCTCTTGCTATAGGGCTCAGCAGGGACCAAGGAACAGTGCTCCACAGGGAAATTTACCGCCAGTGGGGAATGCTGCCGAGCCTGTAATCCTGGGGAAGGAGTTGCCCAACCATGTGGAGTAAACCAAACTGTCTGTGAACCTTGCCTGGACAGTAAGTAACATATTATTATTATTGCAATAACTATACTGTACTTACATCACACTTTTTTCTTTGAGAATTGAAGCAGCATTCTCAAGGTTTATCTTCTCTCCACAAGAACAGTTCTCTTGCTTAGGCTGAACTAGGAGAAATTGCCTGGTCTAAAAGTAATAGTGAGCTCCATGCATGAATGGAAATTTATGCAACCTTTTGGATCAGTTGATTAATCTAGTGTTTGAAGGATCACTCGGGTCAAAGAAGAATCCTTTTAAAGGCAGAGTGGATGTTCATATGTGATCAGTGACCAACCAAATGTCAGTGACCATGATATCCTACTGAATCATCTATGGAGGCTAGGGATTGGGGGTAGTGGTACTTCCAGTTGGTAGTGGAGAAGGAGAGGTTTCCAGTCACCATTCAAAAGGTCATCAGCAAGATACCTTAATCAAAGGTATCAAAGAGCATTTAGAGACTTTAAGGACTTTTCTGTCTTGGGAACATATAAACATTATCCTGAGCATCCCTTCAGATAATAATTCTCCTTTGTACTCAGAAGAGGATTAAAGTTGCATGTCCATTTGGGTATGAACCCACATTTTTTTCAGGCAAAGGGGAAGTCCAATAAGTAACAGCTTTTTTAAAAAAACCTTTAATGCAGTTTTTTTCCAGCCTAATGCTTTTCAACTACTTTATCTATTAAACTGATTTATATTCTGCCTTTCTATTTAATCAGGTAGATTAAATAATTAGCTTAACTAATTATATAATAGAAATAGCCAAAAGGATTGTGTGGCGCTATAATCCACAACGGTCTTAGGTTTTATGGTCATTGGGCATTTTGGATGGACATAATCACAGAGTAGTAGTCCATTCATTTTAGAAGGGAACCCTGTTTAAATTGTTTAGGTAACAGGTTTTGCCTTGCCAATGAATTTTACTTTGTGACAATAGGATAAAGTTTAATTGAATAGTGAAAAACAATGTCCATCCTTTCTTCCATTTAAGTTCTTTTTTTTTAAGAGGAGGAAAATGTAAGAAACTTCTATAAAAGTTGCAGTCCATAAAATAAGCTGTTTTTAAATATTTTTATTGTATGTACACATCCTAGGCCAAATGTCTCTGATTTTCCTGTATGCTTTAGTTACAAAATTATTTTCACTAATTCTTTCATAGAATTTGTAGATAAACTGTCTTCTTGCATATATCTATTTATTATGAATGAAGTATTGATTGCTTTAAAACTTTGGAAATTGTGATCATGTGACCATGGCTCACTCTGTGATGTCATAATTGGAAGTAACCAAGTACCAATGACTATGGGGATACTGTGATGGCCAGAACTTTGAGACTGGTCATACTTGTTCAGCACCATTGTAAGTTTGAATGAGAGGTCATAAGAACCACTGCATATCCAAGTATAGTAGTAAATAGCAAAGCAAATTGTTCCTTCTTAACCTAGGCAGCCACTGCTCTCATTGCAGGTTGTTTTTTAATTGTATGTTTAAATAATATCACATTTACTTCTCCAGTGAATTTAGATAAATAATAGCATACAGGATGTTTATATTTTGATTATCTTGTTGGTCAGTGCTTTCATTCCAATACAATCTGTCTGCTTATAAATAATATTAGCATATATTCACTAAGCAATCCAACAGCCTAAAAAGGACATCAAATAAGTTATTCTTTTTATACAAATTTATCCTAAGCAAGGAAGTTGCAGCACTACAGCCAGTATCCTGCAAATGAAGATTATTCAATGAAGACAAATTTGGAGAAATCTATACAGGTAGTCTTCAATTTATGACCACAATGGAGCCCAACATTTCTGTTGCTAAGTGAGACATTTGTTAAGTGAATTTTGCCCAATTTTACAATATTTCTTGCCACAGTTGTTAAGTGAATCACTGCAGCTGTTAAATTAGTAACACAGTTGTTAAATGAATCTAGATTCCCCATTGACTTTGCTTGTTAGAAGGTTGCAGAAGGGGATCACATGATCCGAGGACACTACAACTGTCATAAATATGAGTCAGTTGCCAAGCATCTGAATTTTGATCCCATGACCATGGGGATGCTGCAACAGTTTTTAGTGTGAAAAAAGATCATGTCACTTTTTCAGTGTTGTAACTTTGAATGGTCACTAAATGAACTGTTGTAAATTGATGACTACCTGTATATTCCTAAATGTCACAATTTAGCATTTTGATAGGACAATATTTTTCCAGGGCACTTTTACAATGATAGAACTGTTCCTTTAGAAGACTCCATAGGGCAGGACCAGTGGTGGGATTCAAATATGTGAACAACCGATTCTCTGTGTGGATGCCACTTCCGGAAGTCCATTCTGGGCCTGGGCAACAAAAAATTAGCTACCGGTTCTGTCAAAGTGGTGCGAACCGGCTGAATCCCACCACTGGGCAGGACACATGATATTAATAAAGCAACAAACAAACAAGCAAATTTTGCTCTCTGAGTTAAAGGAGAAACAAGTGTCCTCCACTTCTAATAGAGGAATCTTGCTTTGATGGTGATGGAACATCAGTCTCCAATTCTAACTCAGAGAGCCCAGCGCTGATGGCCTGGAACACATGTGTCTTAAAAGCGGCTATTGCTGCTGCTGTCTTTCATCTTCTGATATACTGAGATGATTGCCTAACTTTGCCTAATGGTAGAGACAGGATTCCTGCTGGCCAATATTAAGCACCTCTGAGGAACCAACCCGACATATTAGCATAGTTGAGTATGTTTAAACTGTGCTCTTTTTAGACAAATGTAAATCTACATTTATCAAGTTTAGCAATCATGCATTTTGATCCTTCAGGATTTTCTCAGCACAAAGCTGAATCTGTATTTGATTACCCGCAGATTCCTCTGATGTCTTCAATTTTCTTCGTAACTGAGCTATTCCATAACTGCTATGAAAATTCTTTGAATATATATGTTTATGATTCCCATCACGTTCAGGGAAGATCTTCTGAGTAATTCATTTTCATTTCATTCTCAGGAAGTCATTTTCCTCTATAAAATATTGAAAAGCTGGCTATTTTTTGTTTCCAAAACACAAAGTCCAAATATTTCAGCCACTTTTTCTCTGGAAGCTCAATGGTTTACATCTAAGCTGCTTATTAGGTTGCACCTTTTTGTGCTATTATTTTAGAATTTCTCTTTACCACAGGGTGTTCCTGGATATAGCATTTTTAAATCTTTCTGCATCAATTTCTTTTAAAAAATATAATCTGTTACACACTGTATACTATATTTGCAATACAGTATATCTAAAACCAAGAACATGACCTTGCAGTAAAACATTCTCCAAGGTTATTTCTCTGGTCCTCTACTACAATATCACACCCTCAGTGTCTTGAACCAAAGAAACCTAGGTTCATATCTCATATCTGATTGTAAATGCCCTGCTTTCATTCACTTCAGCATTTTTGTGGAGTTTCTGCAAAAGTAAAATACCACTCCAAACTCCTCCTATGGACTATAGGATAGGAGTCAAATAAATCAATGAAAACACATTTAAAACTCTGTCTTAGGCCCAGAATAGTAATCCGTTCAGGAAATTATATGTTAATGCTTCTGGAGAATGCTTAGTTTTAGGCTTTGGAGGTTCTCCAAGAGCAGCAGGAATAATTATAGTATTACTGCGGTTATTGCTTTATGTCGTCTTTCATTTTCTGGGTGGGATACTGTGAAACTTATTAAAGTACGTACCTCTCAAAAACAGTTCTATATTTCTGTTTCTTCCTTAAAAGTGTCCTTAACTGTGCTTCAGAGGCTGAAAGAAAAATAAGGTATTTAATACTCCCTCCTTCCACTTGCTCCTTAAACACCAACCCATTGGGTATCTTGGGGTCCATTTAATATTTTTCTGGAAGAATGCTAAACTGGTGCTAAGAGCAGCTTCAGCAATAGTTGGCAGGGAGGGAAAGGCACATAAGTACCCCCTCTCTCTGGTGCTTCATTGTGCAATCCCACATCCAACTCCCCCACCTATCAGCTATTGTTCAGGCTGCTTTTTGGACACAGTTTAATGCTGCATTCCAAATAGCACCTAGCAGGCACCCTGAATGGGGCCAGAGTTGCACCATAGAGCAGCAGAGAGAGAAATCCATCTCACTCTTTTCTTTCCAGTATGTATCATCTTCTCCATCTATAACTCACTGGCTTCCATTCAGATTGATCTAGGTTTGTAGACCTGCTTGTAAAGGGAGATTATTTAAAACAATGGAGGGAAGTGCCCAGGAACCATAGCATACCACAACCAGTCAAAAGTGGCCAAGAGATTCTGTGCAGATTGTGTGCCTTTCCCCTAAGGATCACCTGACCGTGCCATAAATAAAATGGTGAATTATGTCAAACTCTTACATGGTAAAATGGCCTCAACATATTGGCTCATCAAAGGAAGATACCCTATTTTAACACTGAATTAGCTAAAGGTGGCTTTAGGCTATCTTAAATATGGGTTGGGAACAAGATGGTAAGTTTTGGGAGAAAGCATTAATGGTTACCTGGGTATGCACTATGGAAACAGGAAAGGGCTTCTGGACTTCATCCTAAGGCAGTACTCAACTAATGTCATCCTCTGATGGATCACTTTTATATCCTGATATTTCTCCACTTGCAGATGCATCATTTATTTAAAAAAAATAATCAAAAGGCATTTTCTTTCCCCCAGAAACAGCATATTGGAGACCCGGGGGCCTATGTAGAAATTAAGCAATTGATTCTGTTTGTTCTTTGGGTTCTGTTTGTAGCTTGTCTTTAAATATGAGCAAGCCTTTTTCTGCAAAATTCTAGGAAATCTCATCCTGGACTAGAGATGTGTGGAGGGCCCTGGCAATGACAGGGCTGGGTGGAGGAAATCTAAAGTCTCTTCTGCTCTTCACAGCATTTGTTAAAATAGCTAAAAATAACCTTCTTCTGCAAAATCAATGGCTGCTACTTAATCTTAACATGGAAGGGCAGCAGAGTTGCAGGATATCAAATACCAACCAAGAATCTGA